CATGATAGTTCAGGAAACTATTCTAATAAATTGTTTATAAGAACTGAAAAAAACATAATATATATATATATATATATATATATATATATATATATATATATATATATATATATATATATATATATATATATATATATATATATATATATATATAACTATTCTTATATATAGAATATAAATATATTATAGAATATAAAAACTATTCTTATAAAGAGAGCGATCGACTGTAAGCCACGAATTGTCAGTATATCCTCAGTGTAATAAGATCAAAATAAATTACTCCTATTAGGCAAAATTGCGTATTAATTTTGTCAATAAAGTTGTTAATAAAAATAACTGACTTAATGTGTGGTTAAAACTAGGTTAATTTTGAGTAAACAAGAAAATCTATGTACCACTAAATTCCTTTAGTCCACTTTTGGAAGCAAAAAATAATTTACAAAACATCTGAGAATATAGAGGCTATAAATATTACATCGTATAACACAAGGAAAATAGATTAAATATTTCGGAACTTGTAAAAAAAAATGTCATTGATTATCGTCGTAAAATGACACATTCGATTTTATTCAACGAACGTTAATGGGAAAATACAACAAAAATTGAAAAAATAGAGATATTTTACCTCTGTAGAGTTAAAAACATTTAGTGATTTTACCTCTGTAGAGTTAAAAACATTAGTGATTTTACCTCTGTAGAGTTAAAAACATTAGTGATTTTACCTCTGTAGAGTTAAAAACATTTAGTGATTTTACCTCTGTAGAGTTAAAAACAGTAGTGATTTTACCTCTGTAGAGTTAAAAACATTAGTGATTTTACCTCTGTAGAGTTAAAAACATTAGTGATTTTACCTCTGTAGAGTTAAAAACATTAGTGATTTTACCTCTGTAGAGTTAAAAACATTTAGTGATTTTAACTCTGTAGAGTTAAAAACATTAAGTGATTTTATCTCTACAGATAAAATCAAAGTAAAGAAAGATTTCGTAAATAAAAATCTACTAAACACTGTTTCTACAAAAGCATCGCAAAAGGCTTTTGTATAAACATAAATCAATATAAAAGTATATAAATCAGCTAGAATCATCCATTTATATGACAGTGTAAAGTTAAATCCATCTCTAAGCAAGACCACAAAAGATAAACAAAAAGTTAAAACAGCATTTCATTAACATAAACCTGGACTAGAAGCGAAAGCTTTAAATGTGTGAAACAGAAACCTTCTACCCACCGCAAAGGGAAGACAAGCAGAGCTCCAGCATGAATATAAAGCAGCATTCTCGGTTATTTCTCTTAGTTATTGGCCCACTATTTCCCAAGGTAACGACGAGTGAGCATATAATCGCCCTGGCAGTTATGGTACAAAGTGGCGTGAGTATCCACTTAACTTTTCCAGCGGTCGTAAAAGTGCGGACGGAGAGTACGTTATCCCATATTGCGTGTCACACCTCGCCTATTACAGAGGGATAGGGGGGAGGATAGTTGATGGGATAGGGGGAGATCATGACCCCTTCTCCACCTAGCCATCCCCCCTATTATCCCCCTCTTCAGCTTCGCTGGGCGGCAGTGATATCAACTCTAACGGTTTACACTTCTCAACTCCACTATTACCCGATCAAGTAAAAATTCTCCCGAGTAATTAAATCTTGCGTGTGAAACAGGACACACACACTTTTACTTATAAAAGTGAGAGGACGGGATTCACTCCGGTGAGAAGCCTTGTCAAAATATCATTTGCATGCAGGTTGCAGTATGGGAAAAGAGGAGGGGGTGAGGATATACGTGTGTAGGGCTTAGATTTGTTAATTTGAAACTATTATGATGTTTGGACCTATATGTGTCTATGTGTTTAAGCTTGTGTGGCTTGTGTATCTCTAATTACAAATGAAACCATAAGCCAAGAATATAGGCAGCAAAAGTATGCGTTTTCAGAATTGCACTTCAGCTATAGACTATTGTATCATAAACAATTCGTTCTCATTTTGTATTTTACATGGGTGTATAGTTGTATACATGTATTAAAGTACGCATGAGTGTATGTTTGCATGATCGCTAGTGTGAATGTGCAACATATGTGCAGTTATGTAGGGAAATATTTACATGTGCTAGTATGTAGGGGAAGTATTCACATGTTCTAGATGGATCTAGATAGATAAATGATCTCATTTAGCATTAATCATCGAGACTTAAGAATTACAGTTTGATATAACGTTAGGCTTAGTTATAACAAACATTAGCTCTTGTAGCAATAAATATTAGGCCTATTGGCCATACACATTTAGCCAAGTAGCTACTCATATTAGGCCTAGTTGCTGCAAATGTTACGTCAAATGGCTAAACAATATAGGCTTAAAAGTTACGTATATTGTGCCAAATAGCAAAATAATTTAGGCCTATAGGCTACATATATTCAGCAAACTACCCAGTTTACCTCAGAGAGGGAAACACTAATGAACTTTATGATATATTTAATCACCTCCTGTTAATTTCTTAGTTTTTTTTAACCCAGGTCTTTTGTAAATCTAAACTTAACCAATTTATACTAATTGGTAACCTAAACTTAACCAATTTATACTAATTGGTAACCTAAACTTAACCAATTTATACTAATTGGTAACCTAAACTTAACCAATTTATACTAATTGGTAATCTAAACTTAACCAATTTATACTAATTGGTAACCTAAACTTAACCAATTTATACTAATTGGTAATCTAAACTTAACCAATTTATACTAATTGGTAATCTAAACTTAACCAATTTATACTAATTGGTAATCTAAACTTAACCAATTTATACTAATTGGTAACCTAAACTTAACCAATTTATACTAATTGGTAATCTAAACTTAACCAATTTATACTAATTGGTTTTATTTTATATATTTTTTTAATATTTTATTTTATTTTATATTTGATATTTTTTTATATATATATTTTCTTTTTTATATTCGCTTTATTATTTATTTTATTTTTTTTATTTTTTTTTACTTTATTTTTACTTTATTTGTTTTACTTTATTTTTTTTATTCGCTTTGTTAGTCCCTTTTATTTATTATTTGTAACAATGCGGGATTCTTTTTCTTTACGTAAATATTACTTTTATTATCAGCCATTTATTTACAAACAACAAATTGAATTACTGAAGCGTATGTTTCAGTAGACAGCTTATTGCCAAATGTGCTCTAAAGTTCGAATTTTAAACGTATTTTGGTTGAATTTCCGTCGAAATTCTTCCGTTCAGGAATTAGGGAACATTTATCTGGCTATCACAAATCGCACCTCTTGTTCAGAACGTGATTTTTGAACGAGGGAATTGGAGATGCGCTGAATAGGAGGTACACCTATTTTTTGACCTTGTAGAATGCCCATAGAACATCCATATATCTTGTGTTTAATGAGTCTGCGTGTACTGCATTGGCTCAAGTACATTAGATGTGCTATCTTGTTTTGAATTTGATTTTGCAACTTTTGAGTGGCCTGTGGACAGATATCCTAAAGCTGTAACGGGGTCTAGGTCTTATAATCCGGCCGAGCGGACAGCACGCTGGACTTGTGATCCTGTGGTCCTGGGTTCGATCCCAGGCGCCGGCGAGAAACAATGGGCAGAGTTTCTTTCACCCTATGCCCCTGTTACCTAGCAGTAAAATAGGTACCTGGGTGTTAGTCAGCTGTCACGGGTTGCTTCCTGGGGGTGGAGGCCTGGTCGAGGACCGGGCCGCGGGGACACTAAAGCCCCGAAATCATCTCAAGATAACCACAAGATAGGTTATGCATTTCTTATCGTAAAGAGGCTTGTTAATCAGCGCAATTTCTTGCAACATTTTCCACACGTCTTGTGAAGTACACCCCCCAGGAAGCAGTCCGTGACAGCTGACTAACTCCCAGGTACCTATTTTACTGCTAGGTAACAGGGACATAGGGTGAAAGAAACTCTGCCCATTGTTTCTCGCCAGCGCCCGGAATCGAACCCGGGACCACAGGATCACACGTCCAGCGTGCTGTCCGCTCGGCCGACCGGCTCCCATGTATATTTGTGTCTCCGAAAATATTATTGATATAATTGATTGTATGTATATTTTTACTATTATTACTAATAATGTAAATACTGTCATTATTATTGTCGTTTAAATTGGATAGTTAAGATCATTATTAACTAATATCACAATTAATTTAATTTGTTTTGATGTTAATAATTTTATTTATATAATTATGATTTATTATTTGCATTAATATTACACAATCACATAGAAATATGATGATATGACGACCACACTACTCATCAGGAAACGATGAAGTTTTCGGTCGATCCTGGACAGAATCGTCGTCGTCTTCTCATCTTCTGATGAGTGGTTCAGTCATTATATCTTCAGTCACGTTATTGTGACTCATCGTTTCCATGGAGACCTGAAGCTTTTACTAAATACAGCAGTGTATTCTATGCCTAATATTTTCGGTTTCACTAGATTTTGCTTATTTTTTCTTATTTTTGCTTATTTTTGCTTATTTTTTCTTATTTTTGCTTATTTATGCTTTCTACTTATGCTTTCGCTTATTTTGACAACATTTACACGTGCACCATTTCTCATCTTTCACCTCGCAAATAATCGACTACTGACGCATAATCCATTAAAAGTATACCATCATTGCAACACCTGACTCAGGGTCAGGTGTTTTTTCAACGTCAACACCAAGTTCACACCGCCTGGAAATATTATTATTTAGATTATAATGTCTCGCATATTCCTCAATCTGTCCTTGGATTATATCGGATCACAACCGAATTATGTGATATACTATTCTATAAAGTTTCTCAAGCACTTATTCTTCAAAACTTGAAATACATTAGAAGTGCTCTTTCGGGTCTATAAAGAAGTATTCAAAAGAGGCATTTCTTCTTAGGAAAAGAAATGTGCAAGCTAATGTTAATTTTCAGATTTGAGGTGAGAAATAGCATCTTACTAGAATAGTTATCTATGTTTAGTGTCTAGAAATTGTTTATACCTGGGGTGGGGTGACGTGGCCCTCGTCATGTAGGTATCTGGCTCACCCAGGGGGGTTCCTTTCACTGCTACAGGGGGGATTCATGTGATCTTCGTCATGTAGGTATCTGGCTCACCCAGGGGGGTTCCTTTCACTGCTACAGGGGTATTCATCTGGCCTTCATCATGTAGGTATCTGGCTCACCCAGGGGGTTCCTTTCACTGCTACAGGGGGATTCATGTGATCTTCGTCATGTAGGTATCTGGCTCACCCAGGGGGTTCCTTTCACTGCTACAGGGGTATTCATCTGGCCTTCATCATGTAGGTATCTGGCTCACCCAGGGGGTTCCTTTCACTGCTACAGGGGTATTCATCTGGCCTTCATCATGTGGGTATCTTGCTCACCCAGGGGGGTTCCTTTCACTGCTACAGGGGGATTCATCTGGCCTTCATCATGTAGGTATCTGGCTCACCCAGGAGGCTTCTCTCCACTGCTGCAGGTACGGTCAAACTGATAATGCTCCTTGTTCATTAGTCACGTCTCCGCTTCACACTCCATCATCTGAAACACAAAACATACAAAACCTGATTAAGAAACTGCCAGAATTAGGGTACAATGTTTTTTCTTTTCTCCTTGTGTGTAAACATTATCCCTTTTCTCTTTCCCCAACTTCGTTAAAAGCTCATGAGCCAGTAAAAATAAAACATCTGTTGAGTTTACTGAGCGGTTGTGGATTGTTATGTTGATAAACTGGTGGTGTGAAAACACGAGTCGTTAATTGAAGTATAGCGAACAAGGTCGTAGCTTGAGGGGTTAAGGGCATCTGTGGAGAGCATTCGAATTGGTGTTCAGCTGTGGGGGGGGGGGGGGGCTTTACTGTAGAGGACGAGGAGGGGCTGGTATACAGGTGTTCTAGGAGAGGACGGATAGTGTTCAACTATGGGTTCTCTACTGTAGAGGACGAGGGGGGATAGTATACAGGTGTTCTAGGAGAGGATGGATGGTGTTCAACTATGGGTTCTCTACTGTAGAGGACGATGAGGGGCTGGTATACAGGTGTTCTAGGAGAGGATGGATGGTGTTCAACTATGGGTTCTCTACTCTAGAGGACAAGGAGTGGCTGGTATACAGGTGTTGTAAACAAGAGTGGGGCTGGTGCTCGACTGTAGCAAACAAGGGGAAAGGGGGGCTGTTAGTCAGTCTTTAAGTGGGGGGGGGGCTAGCTTCTCCTCCAACAAACACGTATCAACAATAATTGCAAATAGTGAAATGACGGTAATAGGCTCTGTTTATTGTAAGCTGAAGGGTCGAGTGCAGACAATAGCGGAGGCAATGAAAGAGGAATTTCCGCGTATAACTGATCCCTCACTCGTCGGGGTCCTGTAGAACTTGGCCACCAGCAAGGGGGAGGAGGAGAAACACTCCAGAGCTGTCATCTCTGGCTCTCTTTCTGTGTGTGTGTGGGGGGGGGGGGTGTGTGTGTGTATGTGTGTAATTACCTAAGTGTAGTTACAGAATGAGAGCTACGCTCGTGGTGTCCCGTCTTCCTAGCATTCTTTGTCATATAACGCTTCGAAACTACTGACGGTCTTGGACTCCACTACCTTCCGTCAGTGTGTGTGTGTGTGTGTGTGTGTGTGTGTGTGTGTGTGTGTGTGTGTGTGTGTGTGTGTGTGTGTGTGTGTGTGTGTGTGTGTGTTCTTCACTTTCTGACGTGTAGTTTTGGTAAGTTAGATGACCTAGCTAGCTAAACAAGGCTTGATTAACTGCTCAAACGATCAATCAAATATTCGTCTATAAAACCGCTAATTAGGTAGAAACCGGCTACAAATTAGCGTCCTACAATATAACTTTAATAATATAGAGAAAGACGGGAAAAATCATAGTGATTTTAAAATCTTAAAAATAAAGGTTATGAAAATAAAAAATAAATAAAATTATGCAAGCACTTTAAAGTAGCTGATGACTTTAATAGATTTAATAGATGAAAGTAACATGCACAGGGAAGAGATACAGATAATAGATGCATGTAATCTTGTGATCTTGTGGTCCTGGGATCGATCCCAGGCGCCGGCAAGAAACAATGGGCAGAGTTTCTTACACCCTATGCCCCTGTTACCTAGCAGTAAAATAGGTAGCTGGGTGTTAGTCAGCTGTCACGGGTTGCTTCCTGGGGGTGGAGGCGAGGACCGGGCCGCGGGGACACTAAAAGCCCCGAAATCATCTCAAGATAACCTCAAGATAACCTTTGCACCAAATGAAAGCACAAAATACAGGCAATAGATATATATAGATAACATATACAGGACGCAAGTATAACAGATGCAGAAACGGGAATCGAACCCAACCTACTCTTCACTTCAAGAAAACACACCGAGGCGCCAATTGTCAATAGTTGCTCACAATACTCACAATTCCCACAATACGACCCCGTTATTACGACATACCAAGCAGTCTTCAAAGCGGTGAGAGTGGAGGCGGTTCCAATAATATTCAGTGAAGCATTCATATCCAATTAATATTTGCTGCGTGTGTAATTGCTATTCATGAGGCTCTCCCGTCCTCATGTCTTCTACTTTGTTTAGCCCGATCAAAAGAGTGGTCCTGGTTCGAGGAATATAAAAATGTGGGTTAGGTGGTTAATCAGTGTTTTAAGTGTGTTGTGTGATTTTGTGTGTGTGTGTGTGTGTGTGTGTGTGTGTGTGTGTGTGTGTGTGTGTGTGTGTGTGTGTGTGTGTCTGCTCTTGTGTGCTCTTGTGTGTGTGTGTGTGTGTGTGTGTGTGTGTGTGTGTGTGTGTGTGTGTGTGTGAGTATGTGTGTGCGCTTGTGTGTGAGTGTGATTTTGAGTGTATTTGCTCTTGTGTGTGTGTGTGTGTGTGTGTGTGTGTGTGTGTGTGTGTGTGTGTGTGTGTGTGTGTGTGTGTGTGTGTATGTATGTGTGTGTGTGTCTGTCTGTGTGTTCTTTTGTGTGTGTGTGTGTGTGTGTGTGTGTGTGTGTGTGTGTGTGTGTGTGTGTGTGTGTGTGTGTGTGTGTGTGTGTGTGTGTGTGTATGTATGTGTGTGTGTGTCTGTCTGTTTGTTCTTTTGTGTGTGTGTGTGTGTGTGTGTGTGAGTGTGTGTGTGTGTGTGTGTGTGTGTGTGTGTGTGTGTGTGTGTGTGTGTGTGTGTGTGTGTGTGTGTGTGTGTGTGTGTGTGTGTGTGTGTGTGTGTGTGTGTGTGTGTGTGTGTGTGTGTGTGTGTGTGTGTGTGTGTGTGTGTGTGTGTGTGTGTGTGTGTGTGTGTGTGTGTGTATGTATGTGTGTGTGTGTCTGTCTGTTTGTTCTTTTGTGTGTGTGTGTGTGTGTGTGTGTGAGTGTGTGTGTGTGTGTGTGTGTGTGTGTGTGTGTGTGTGTGTGTGTGTGTGTGTGTGTGTGTGTGTATGTGTGTGTGTGTGTGTGTGTGTATGTGTGTGTGTGTGTGTATGTGTGTGTGTGTGTGTGTGTGTGTGTGTGTGTGTGTGTGTGTGTGTGTGTGTGTGTGTGTGTATGTATGTGTGTGTGTGTCTGTCTGTTTGTTCTTTTGTGTGTGTGTGTGTGTGTGTGTGTGTGTGTGTGTGTGTGTGTGTGTGTGTGTGTGTGTGTGTGTGTGTGTGTGTGTGTGTGTGTGTGTGTGTGTGTGTGTGTGTGTGTGTGTGTGTGTGTGTGTGTGTGTGTGTGTGTGTGTGTGTGTGTGTGTGTGTGTGTGTGTGTGTGTGTGTGTGTGTGTGTGTGTGTGTGTGTGTGTGTGTGGTTGTGTGTGTGTGTGTGTGTGTGTGTGTGTGTGTGTGTGTGTGTGTGTGTGTGTGTGTGTGTGTGTGTGTGTGTGTGTGTGTGTGTATGTGTGTGTGTGTGTGTGTGTGTGTGTGTGTATGTGTGTGTGTGTGTGTCTACGGATGTTTAAACAGCTCATTGTTATTCCTGGCCAGCTAATTGGTATATATTTGGCTGTACTGCCGTACACTAATTCCTAAGCACAGACAAGATGCTATCTACATACTGGTTCCCACAACCTAAGGTGAACGAAAATAAGCAAAACTAATATGCAAATTTAGTTGCTTGAGCATTTCAAAATACGTGTAAGAAAACTCATACCATATATCAGTAAAGTTGGTTCAACTATCAGACTTAAGCTGCATTGCTATCACAAACGATAACTCATTATACAGCAAATATAACCATCAATGAATGAACTCAACGCAAAGCGTATTCACGGCACTGAATATACGGAAAATGTAAAAAGCCAAAGGCAAACATGGAGTCATGTCATTGAAATTCAACCCAGCGGCTATTCTGTGTTTTTCAGTCGTAAAAATCCTTCGCTGCGTAGAATTTCAAGCTAGTGACCTTGTCCTACACTGGGAGGCGTTTAAATGCTGTACCACCAGCCTGGACACACTTTCAATTAGGTTAAAAACGACTTGTTCAGATAATGGTTTGATTTCACAGAATAGTCTTGTTCTCTTGTTGCTCAGAGCCGGTCGGCCGAGCGAACAGCACACTGGACTCGTGATCCTGTGGTCCTGGGTTCAATCCCAGGCGCAGGCGAGAAACAGTGGGCAGAATTTCTTTCACCCTATGCCCCCCCCCCCTGTTACCTAGCAGTAAAATAGGTACCTGGGTGTTAGTCAGCTGTCACGGGCTGCTTCCTGGGGGTGGAGGCCTGGTCGAGGACCGGGCCGCGGGGACACTAAAGCCCCGAAATCATCTCAAGATAACTTCCAGAAGAACCTCCTTTAACCTCATTCTCAAACTCTAAATGCGTTTATAAGAAGAAATTAAAAACTCGATATTCAGTATCTCTTGACACTTTGAGGAGTCACAACAACGTGGCTGAAATGTGTTGACCAGACCACACACTAGAAAGTGAAGGGACGACGACGTTTCGGTCCGTCCTGGATCATTCTCAAGTCGACTGTGTCAAGTCTCAAGCCACAATCGACTTGAGAATGGATGGACCGAAACGTCGTCGTCCCTTCACCTTCTAGTGTGTGGTCTGGTCATCAATGTGATGATATTCTGACATCGTTAAAGACGTGGATATTAAATGTTATTAATACTACAGGCAAACAGACATTAGTTTTTTTTAGCTATTTTGGGTAATAGTGTGATAACGGAGTAGCCTTCGTTAAATGGATATTTTCCCATTACTCCTGGTCAAAGGTAAGCGAGTCTATGGGTACCTGATTAATATAGACGCAGCATCTTGCTACTTGACATTCAAAGCGAGTTCGATCCCCTACTTTATAATACTCATGGACTCGAAGCTAAGAAAAATAATTTCCAATCATCATTATAGAACATATATTAATTAAAATGATGTAGATCAAAGCTGGATAGTAGTTTTACTAGAGTACAAATTAACGTGATGTATTGATGATAAAATCAGTAGGAACCATGAGAAGGATTCGATCCTACACACAGGGTAATGTGTAAAACCCTGTGATGTGGGATCTGATCTTGGGGAAAATGAACATAATTTTGCCCGTATTAGCATAAAACAAATTACCCTCCCACAGCCTCAAAGGCTTTCTTAAGCCCTGCCTC